GCACTGTGTGATTGCTACTAAAGTCAAATGATGAACAGTAATAATCAGCCTCATCCTCGGGCTGCAGGCCCGTGATGGTCAGAGAGGCAGTGTTTCCAGACTCGGAGCCAGAGAACCGCTCTGGGATCCCTGAGGGCCGATTACCTCTGAGCATCACAGCTTTGGGGGCAACACCGGGAACCTGTTGGTACCAGCCTGCACCATAGCTTCCAACATTGTTTCTGCTTCCAGTGCAGGTGAGGGTGACCTTCTGTCCCACACTTCCTGACACCGAGGCTTGCTGTGTCAGCCCAGACTGCGCCCAGGACCCTGGAACAGAAAAGTGGAGACACAGAGACTTGAGATGAGGCTATTTCTCACAGCGTGTTCTCAGTCAGAGAGAAAAAGGGAGACCCAGGTGTGTCCCATAGTCACTACTCCAGCTTCCCTCAGTCAGTCACCTGAGCAGTGAGCAAGGAGGGTGAGGAGGACAGGGGTCCAGGCCATGGTGGAGGTGCCCACACTCTGTTTCTGAGCACACGAAAGAGAGAACACCACAAAGTCTCTTATGTTGTCCCCTCCTGAGAGGGCAGAGAGGACCCTTCATGCAAATTGTTTCCTCCTCCTGGGTCCCTGGGGATAAAGCTGGTGAAAGCTGAGAGGGGGTGGGGCAGCTGGAGCCTCTCTGGGGATGTGGCCTGGGAGGTCACAGCTGCTGGTACCACTGAGCACAGAGCATAGGGCACTGGGCCCAGGCCCTGGTTTCCCAGCTGAGATCCCCCACAGACCTTCAGGGGTGGGCCTACAGCGCCCCCTGCTGTTTCAGAATCCACACTCACTTAGGGCTTGGATGGAGAGGCAGGAGCTTGTTTGGATGAGAGAGTGAGGCTTGGACTTGAGTCCTGCCTGGCACACCACCCACGCACAGAGAATAGGGGCTCCTAGACCCCCAGGCCTCCTCACTATGTCGCAGGTGTCCCCAAACCTGACTCAGTACTCTAAAGAGGTGACCTCCTCTGCATGAGGACTTCCTCCTGTTCTCCCTACTGTTTAGATAACTATGATGTTGGGACCATATAGGTGCCTGAGCCCTCACAGTGAAAGGGTCCTCCCCTCAGGGAACCGATGGGCCAAGGGCATGAAGGCCTCTGCACACACTCTATTGCAGGGTGACTGGTTCCTATCTCTCTCCTCATTCTTTACCTCCCACCATGGGGTCTCAATACCAGAAACCTCATCAATTGTCCTGTTGTCACTGGGGATGGGGCCAGGGTCCATTGATAACCAGTCACAGGGGACATCTTCAGAAAGAGGCCAGAATCATTCAGAAGTGAGATCTGCTTTCTTATTGCTCCCCCCAGACAGCATCCACACAAGGCGGTCTCAGCACTTCCCTCCCAGGACACACTCAGGTCCCCACAGCCCCTCAGCGGTCCAGCAGGGTAAACAGGTCTCTCTCACCACATGCGGCCTACATTGGGATGGGGTTGGAGCTTTGGGGATGTGCAGAAGCATTGAAGTTGCTACAAGAGTGTCCAGTATGAAGACACTGATGTCCCCGGGGGCCCTGTGTGAGCCTCCCTCACTGTCCACAATGCCTATTCGTTCACTCAACACACCTTCTCCAGACCCTACTGCGTGAGAGACTTGCATTCCACTCATGTACAGAATATCAGCACAGTTGCTTCCCCATTGTCTTTACCTAATCAATGTCTGTGATAATAATGCTGTTAATATGAAAGACATATATTTCAATATACAAACATGTATACACTTTTCCATCCAGTCTTGTTCACTCTCACTAACTTCACAGGTGCGTATTGTACTCCTGTGAACCCTCAATGCTTCCCTCTGAATAAGTCACAGAAACCCCCCCTCCCCGCATCGCACAGGGACCGCACGGAAACCAAAGGGTGTCCGTGGCCCTGACAGTTTCTTGTTGCTTATTGTAGCACCAAATGTCTGGAGCATGGTGATGTTTTTTTGTGGCTCAGTAATTTATATCAATTCCCTAAAAAGGAAGTCAGTGAATAAAAAAAAACAAAACACAGATATTCACTGTCCTTAACCCATGAGTCACACATGTTTGCCCCTCTTGCATACGACCATCCTCATCCAACCACATCCCAACCAGGAACATGGAGCCGTCCTAGACCCATCCACACCCCCACACTGACCTTCCAAGAAGGCCCTAGGACAGCATTTCCCCAAGGAAACCATCTGGAATCTTCTCTACTGTCTTCATCTCCACTACACTCACCCAGATCTGGCCACTGTCTTCTCCTCCGGGATGGGACAGACTGACCCTACCCTGTCTCCCTGCCCTGCTCACTGTGTTCTCACTTCAGCTGGACATGGAGTGAGCAGACACCAATGTGTGCACGTCACTCCCCACTGATGGTCCCTCTGTGACTATGCTTTTCCTCTCAGCAGCAGTCATCCCAGCAGTCTGGCCTCTCCTGCCTTTTCAGCTCTCCTGCCGCTTCCTAAGGAGCTCCTCCTGGTGCCCCTGCTCACTCCACTAACCCAATGCGTGGCCCAAAGCAACTTTCCCCTTTTATTTGTGCGACTGATACTTCCCTTTTGGTGTTCTTATCTGTTATTGCAACATTCTTCACCTCACCCATACCACCTTCTCACTCCTACTTATTCTGAAAATCCCAGATTGGACACCGGTCCCATTGATTGGGTCTTTTTGGCCCAATGCCCCACCCACCTTCAACCCCCAACCTACCCAGGCACCATCTCACATCAGTGCTGGTGTTTCACTTAAGTTTTCTCTCATAGCCAATGAGAGAAATTCTTAAGTCACAGAACTTCTTCTGTGGCCAGGAAGAAGCAGATAGAGAACTGTAAGTACACAATTGGCATAGTTTGGGTTTGGGTTGGAATTCAGAAGAGATTTAGAAGTCCTTTAGGTAAAAATTTATTTTTATCACATCGCTGGAGCACCCCAGTGTGTTTCCCAGATTGAAGAATTCAAACCCCACTTCTCCTTAGGACAGCCCCACAGCGCCCCCTGCAGGATCCTGTGTGCAATCTCTCCAGGTCTTATGCCCCCTGAAAAATGAAGGAGATCCATGATTTGGATTGTTTTCCTCATCACTCTGGACCTCACTGGTTAGGGGCCCTGGAATAGTTGTTCACACAGGAGAGAGGAGAGACTGTTCTGTCCTCTCCAGGATGACCTGTGGGATCTCTGTAAAACCTTGAATTTCTGGAATGTTAGATTTCACGACAATATCAAGTTATTTAAATGGAATACCTCTCCTGACCTGAGGGAGAAGGTTAAAGCATAAAACGAAAGGGGGTAGATCCTAAATGTGCACACAGACCACTGGCTCATGGAGGCTCAGAGTGCCCATGTGACGGGCTGTGGACACCCTGACAAGGGATCCCACGCTGTCCTTCTTCTTAGACTCTCTCCTTGCTTGGGCTTTGCATATCGGTGCCCATGACAGGGCCACATTTTTTAAAGCACTGACTACCTTTTCAAGTGTGTATGTAATGCAGAGTAATGACCAGTTAAAAGCCACTCTGAGGGTGGTGTTGAGGCTTTTGGTCAAGATCTGCTACACCTGCTTCACCCCCACACTCCCCAGGGATCCCCTGAGCTGGTCACTGCTCCAGCTGGGAGAACTGAGGCAGGCAGGGGAGCGTTCTGACACTGTCTTTATAAATTTAAAACCCACAAGGTGTTTCTAAACATTCAGAGCAGTAAAGAGCTCAAATCTGCTCTCTATCCAGTGTCTCCCAGCACTAGTAAGGGTAAGGGACTCTGTGATCCTGGACACAAGCTCATCACCACACGATCCGTGTCCATTTCTGCCAATACAGTGTCTCTAAGACAAGCAAGTAAATTTCAGCTGCTTCAAGCACCTGAACTCAGAATCTGGAGGGTATTATCCTCATTTGGCACCACCTGCAAATGCAAACACCCCAATGCCCTGTGTGTTCCCCCATCAGGCTTTATTGGAGACATTTACTAAAGAGGGCGTGGCATTTCCATAGCCCATCTGTAGTCTCCTGAGCCTCATGAGTAGCAGATGTGGGCACAGCTAGGGGCAGCTGGATAGATTTGGGGTCCCACTCTTGGAGAAGCACTGTGCCCCCCATGGCCAGAGAGGCTCTCTCAGTAATAAATGATGTGGGTGAGAGGTGGTACAGAGACACGTGATGGAGGAGAGTCAGCAGCAGCCCTGGGGAGACACAGGGCAGGGACTCCAATCTGTGTCCATGGCACCTGGAGACTCTGTAGAGTGAGATCCCTGGGGGAGTTCCAGATGGCATTCCCAGGGGGTTCAGGTCAGGCTGCACTGAGACACATTTCAGCCACCTACAGAGAGTTGTTTCACACAAGCAGGATCCGGAGCCACACAAATAGCCAAACCTGTCCTAGGGGATGGGAAAGAGGAAGAGGGATGTTCTCCTGAGGGCCCATGTCCAGGAACCCCTGAGCAGCTCACCTGTGCAGGGAGAAGGGTGAAGACAGGAAGACTCCAGGCCGGGGCAAGGTTGTCCCCAGACAGGAAGAGTGGCTTCTTGAGCCATGCCTGTGTGACATAACTCCCCACACTTGTCTGGTCCTCATTCACATGTTTCATTGGATGTGTCTTCTCCAACTGAATGTCCCCAAACTCTGCATGTCTCCAGCCTCACTGACAGCTGGGCATGACCCTTCTCAGGATGGTATGAAGAGAAAGGTGGAGATTACAGATCCTGCCTTAGTGATGAGGGGCTTTTTTATTCAAATCCTGACCTGAGTGTGTTTAGTGATTTGACAGACAGAGGAAGGGCGTGGGAGAGAGAGAGACAGAGAGAGACACTGATGTGAAGATGAAACATTTGATTTATTTTCTCTCATAAAATCAAAACTGCAATCCTAATATGTGTCCTGAGCAGGAATCAGACCTGCAAGCTTTCTGCTGCACAGGATGACGCTCCAACCATCTGAGCTACTTGGTCAGAGCATGAGGAGCCTTTTGCTCATATCCTGGTGGGCACGGAGAGGTCACACATAATCATATTTCAATGTAGAGGAGATTGTGGTGGGTCAGCATGTCTGGAGCCAGAGAAACCTGCTTCCCCTGAGCCCCAGGAGGAGAGAAGAGGTACCAGAAACAGGTCACAATGGCCCAGGCAGGTGGAACTAAACTCACTCTTGCAGCAGTTTCCTGGGAGATGGGCCTGGGGAATGATGGGCCCACTGACCCACCACTGACCCACCTGAAGCCCTCACCCCACCCAGGCCTCTGATCCAGGCCTAGACCCTGGTGGACACAGGTGGGTTCAACCCCTTCCTTCCTTGTTTATCCTGCCCCTGGGGGGTTGCGCAACCCCCAGTCCTGATTTAGGCCTGTGTAGACATGAGCAGGCTGAAAAGATTAAACAGAGAGAAACAACATTTTTAAGTACAAACAGTAAGTAAAAACCGCACATCCACAGGTACTAGGAAAAGAGTTGCCCACTGAAGAAGGGACAACAAATGCCACCTGAGTTAGACTTGGTCCCAGGCAGATAAGAAGTGACAGCCACAGGCAGAAAGTGCACAGTGAGGGTTTTGGTCTCACTTCCCCGTGACCCTGGAGCACCGTGTAAGTATTACTGTTGCTGTGGCATGTAGCACAGTAATAGTCGGCCTCGTCCTCAGGCTGCAGCCCAGAGATGGTCAGGAGCCCTGCATTGGCCGAGGAGTCTTTGGATCCAGAGAAGCGGCTGGGGACGCCGGAGCCCTGGTGCTTGTTTGAGTCTGATTTATACGACAGGAGATACCGGGGAGGGCTCCCTGGCTTCTGCTGGAACCATTGTATGTAGTAGCCACCAACAACAAAACCACTGCTGAGGGTGCAGGTGAGTCTGGCTGTGGCTCCAGGAGATGCAGACACAGATGGCGGCTGAGTCAGCACAGGCTGGGAGAGGGAACCTGCAGACACACAGACACATGGGTATGAACAGTAGGTCAGGATGCAGGTTCTGTGGGTCTCTGGGGACTGTCCCTACCTGTGCAGTGACAGAGCAGCATGAGGAGCACGGGGGCCCAGGCCATGGTGAGCAGGCTGCTCCTCAGTCCACACAGCTGGGTCTGGGCTGCCCAGGCCTCTCTTATCCCCTCCCAGCTGGCTGCATGGAGGAGGGGCTGCTCATGCAAATGAGTCCCCATCCTGAGCCTTTTTCCGGGGTTCACCACAGGGTCTGTAACCCTTGGTGAAGGAAGCCAGTCTGACACACTGGTTTCCCTTGGGTAAGGCTGGGAGCAAGTCCTTCAGGGACCACACAGAGGGCCACGAGCACAGAGCTGAGCCTGGTCCCAAGAGGAAATGCCTCACCCTGTCCTCACAGGAATCAAAGTGTCCAGTGCTGAGGGCTCCTGTCCCTGGAGGGCTACCTAGCCAGGAGCTCCTGTTTTGCAGAGAGGGTCTCGTGGCGCCCTCTGCTGGTCCCCAGGCAAATCACTCTTTTTTTCAAGCTGATCCTAAGTCTACACTCAAGTGTCTCATTGGCTCCTATGTTTCCATCACTTAAGAGTGACCAGTACAGGGGACCAGAGTCGTTGTTACACAAGACCAAGCAGGTACAGTCCTGGTGTGACCATCATGGATTCAGGCACACATGACTGCTGACCCAGAAGAGCCTGGGGACTGCTTGAGACTGAGTTCACGTGAGGGGAACAGAGAACAGGGTTGATGTGGGACAGGGGGCCAGGCCAGAGCCCGGATCACTGCAGCAGGGGGACCCTGGAACCCTGGCAGAGGAGGACAGAAGGGGCTCCAGAGGAGCCCCAGGCCTGAGGGCTCCCTGATGTCTCCCACAGGAGTCAACGAGTAAGACAGTTGGTGTCTTACAGAGCCTTCCTTTCAAGTATGTGACTAGGGCCGGCGGGCAGTATCTCTGTGGATGCAGGGACCCATGGGAGGAGGAGGGCTCAGCCCCTGTCCTGTGAGTGGGAAACGGCAACACAGTCTCTAGTGGTGGCCTTGGAAGTGCACCACTCAGACCTCCTTCCCAGGCACCCTGCAGGGGAGAGCTGAGGCCACCTGCAGTGCCGCAGCCTCATTGGGGCTTCAGGCAAAGAAGGGCAGCACAGAGGACTAGAGCCCAGCTTTCCTCCTGGAAGCAGTGTCCTCTAAGGGGCCCCCCACCTGCAGGAGACTTCCAGGCACTCAGCCTGCCTGAGTCCTCCCAGACCTGGGCTGTGGTCTGAGCTCTTCCTGCCCCACCCCCTCCTCCTCTCCCCCTTCCTGGGGGCAGCACTGTCCTTGATGACTCTGGCTCCCCCATCCCTTCCCGTCTTTCCTGCACCAGTGCTCCCACCTCCAAGCTCACTTCTCTACTCATTGTTTGTCCTCTCCTTCTCAGATTGCACAGTAAAGGAATTCCAGGTCAGAGAGAAAAGCAGCCCATAAGAAAAATATGGCTCTGTTGTTAATTAATATTGTAAATCAATTTATTTATTCAGTTAAAAGCATGTACTTTAAAATTCACTTACTGCATTACATACAAATATACATACACATATTTGTATGTACATACACACATGTATTGCATACACATATATTTATGAGCATTTACAGATAAATATACACATTCACATACACACAAATGTTTATGTTTTATCGCACAGGCCCAGCACTGAGGTGCTGTCCCTTCTACAAACTCCTCTTAGATCATGTTCAAGTCCAGAGCAGTGACAGTCCCTTGGAGGCCTGTCCCTTCTGTGCAGAACCAGGTTCTCTCCTTGTGTGCAGTTCTCCCCTGGGGGCCCGGCTCTCCTCCTTGTGGATCCCCTGCCAGCCCGAGGTTAGAACTCCTGGGTTAGAACTGAGCACATCTTTTTCTGTGACACAATTTTACTCATTTTGTTAGGTAGGAATTAACCTTTCTTCCCAAATTATACTTTTTAAATGTATTATAAAATTTAAGAATATACTCAAATTGCTTTTAAAAAATCCAAAAAGTAAGCATCTATAATCTACAAAATGTGCTTTTCTTTTCTCTTTTCTTATTTCCTTTCAATTAGGTGAAACTCATTTCACCTCAGACCTTACATTCCATATTGATGTCACTGCTATTTTTGGGACATAAGGTCATTAAATTCTACTCTTTCTGGACAAGGTCCTCCCAACTCGTCCCTGATGTTTATTACTGTTCTCACAGGGAATGGGACACAGGGCAGACCCTGTCCCTCACCGTTTCTCTGTGGAGGGTGGGCATCAGGCTGCCTTGAGAGCACAGGAGTCTGGTCCTTGATCCCCATGTCAAGGAAACCACATTTGTCCCCAGGCTTGTGGCAGTGGGGAGCTATGTCTTGGTTCCCCATCTGGGTCTCTCTGCCCGCCGGGCTCTGCTGCAGGGCAGTGAGCAGTAGCTCGGCCTCTCCTTCAGGCTGGGCTGTGGGGAGGGTCAGGGCAGCTTTGCCTCAGAAGTGGGAGTCTGAGAACCAGGCAGGGCTTCAGGGGAGTTTATTGCTTGTGTCATAAATCCATGTTCTGGGGACTTGCCCAAACTCCTGTTTGACCATCTACGTACAGTGACCATTGGTGATGGCTCCTGTGCCGGAGCCACAGGTGATATTGTACATCTTTCCTGGGGACACAGTTAGAGCTGGAGAGTTAACACAGCATGAGAAGTTTACCTTTAAATGAAAAGAAAAACAGGTCAGGGATGAAGGGGAAAAGTTCAGGGATCCCACCAAAGGCTCCCTCCCCGCAGTGAGTGAGGAAGGGGAGGAGGAGGCCAGGTCAAAGCACAGACTTTCCACAGTCCTCTGGCCTCAGGCTGATGCTGGTCTCTCAGGTGTCCCTCTCCCTCCTCCCCCAGCCTCTGGGGTGAAGGGTGTGTCTGGTGGGGCATTATGCAAATATGAGCTCACAAACACCCTCATTCTGGGTCCTCTACTCAGTTTGTAGCTTCATTGTTGGGAGGTGGTTGGGGTGGTTGTGAGCTCTGAGTCTGTCCCTTCAGAGGACGCACCTGATGTCAGTTCTAACTCAGGCCAGTGAGCATGGGGCAGGGCCCAGCAGTCAGAATCATTGAAGTTGTTTCAGGCCTTGCAGCGCTGAGAAGATCCACAGCGCCCCCTGTTGACCTTCTAAACAGAATGTTAACTGTAGAAATTCAGCAGAACACAGGGCTACTAGGACAGGGTTGGGTTTTCTTGAAGTCCCTTCCCCTCTTCCCTCCTTCTTTCCTGTCACCCTATGTTCCTGAGGGCCAATTCAATGCCAAAAGAGATCCCCAGTTTGGGGTGTGATCAAGATGTAGACTTTACTCAGTACCAACAACAGCGATACAGCATGGCTATGGAAACAGCGCTGCTGTGGACCAGCCCAACTGTGATGCAGCAGAGCTGTGGAAACCGTGGGGTGTAGAACAGCTCTGCCACCAGGTGTCCCTGGGCCAGGCCACTCTGACTAGACAGCTCTGCTGGATTCCTCTACATTGTCCGCTTTGTGCCGCCCTGGTTTACTCCACTCTGCACTGGTCGGCTTCACTCTGCTCTAGGGAGACCACTCGGTGTTTCAGCTGAGCCGTTCAGACAGTCTTTATTCTTCAGTGGCAAGTGCACTCTCTGAGACACAGGGAATCCAGCTCATCCCAACAGGAGCCTCTGATCGCTGGTGTCTCACTGATCTTTCCACAAGCATTCTTGAAGTTGTCTTGGCCCAAAAGGCACTGCCCTGACAGGTCAGAATAGAGCTGCTGTGATTGGATGTGAAAAGCCTCCATCCTATTGTCTGACACAGAATTCCAGGAAACCTCCCTAAGGGCTGGCTCAGATGGCAGAAACACAGAGTGGGCAGGCAGGCAGGTTAGCCCAGAAGCAGGCAGTTCAGTAAGGAGGTAGTTTGTATGAGACGTTGCTACACAGAAAGGCTGCACATTTTTCTGTGTTCACAGCCAATCCAGGAATCCAACTGTGCCATAAACATTACAGAAAGCAAGAATACAGACAAATATATTATATATATTCCTAACAAAGTATATGTAATGCAGTTTCTCCTTTAAATTTAATTTGTATTGACTTAACCTGAAGTTTCCCAATTGAGACATTTAGGGACAGAAAAAAATCAGGTAAATCATAGTGTCACACGTTTCCCTCCCCGAACTCAGTGCTGGAAGCCTCGGGGAGTCATGCAGTGACACACCCGCAGCCTCTGACCTGTCCCTCACTGGGGCAGTCAGCCCAGGTATCAGCGGTCCTGGGAGCCAGTTCTAAATAAGATGTGTTCTCATGCATAATGACCCCATGAGCCAGAAAATGCATCTCAACATAGAGTTAAAAATTTCCTTCCAAATTCTGGTTGTACTTTGACATCAAGTCATTATAGTAATAGTTTAATATTTTAAATCACATTATTAGTGTTCCTGAATTTTTGATTGGAAAGAAATTGTGCCCTGAGATGTTAATCTGATTGAATTTTAAGCAGAAATTCTCAGGAAGGATTTTAGACATGTAGGAGATGACTTCTTTTCAAATATTAATATGTATAAAAATCTCACGAAGCGCTCATTAGAACAATCCTCGCAGCAAACACAGGTGTCTGTCTCTGTGGGTCTAGTCTGGGGAACTGCATTCCCAGCCAGCCCGAAGGTGAGGCTTCCACTTGAGTGGGAAAAGACATATGCATATGTTTTGAGCAGCAAATCAATGAGAGAAAACCTGTTGCTGCCCTTTAAACAGAAGAGTCTTGCAGGGAGTAGAGGGATCTGAGACTCACAGATGGTTAATATATTTGGGGTCCAGGACGTCCCCAGCATCACCCTAGAAAGAAGGGGAGAGAGAAAACCCAGCCTTTACGGGGTCACTCGGGGAGAAGGACACACCCTGTGAGACGGGAGGAGGTACATGGAGATGAGGCACTGGATGGAAACCAGGGCCGTGGAGCCAATCCCCATACTATGAGGATCATTTCCACCCTCTCTCCTTTCTTCTGCCTCTAAGGGTTCAGCCTTTCTGAATTTTGAGGAGGTTTTAGATGCACCTCTCCATGAGTTCACATCACTGTGCAAACATCAATATTACTATCCACATACACTGCACAGTAATAGTTGGCCTCATCCTCA